AATAGAAGTGGAATTCGGATATCAGTGATCGGGGATTCATCAAAGCTTTCCACATCTCTGCAAACGTTGACCAACGAAGTCGAGGAGACCTCGAAAAACAACACCCGACTCCAACTCATCGTCGCAATCAGCTACAGCGGTAAGTACGACGTCGTGCAAGCATGCCGGAGAATAGCCGAGAGAGCAAAAGATGGCCAAATTCAACTAGCGGACATCAAAGAAAGCTTAATCGAAAAGCAAGAGCTAGAAACTAAATGTACGAAGTATCATACCCGGATTTGTTAATAAGAACCAGCGGTGAACACAGGGTCAGCAACTTCTTGTTGTATCTATTGGCTTACACCGAGCTCTTCTTTGCTCAACAACTCTGGCCTGATTTTGGGAAGGAAGAGTTCGTATCAGCAGAGGCACCGCCGATATGGCGGAAGACAGTCGTGAGGTGACGGGGAAAGGGTATAGGACAAATTATGCTTCTAATTCCATTGAGCAGCTGATGTCCATACATGGACTTCCAATCTTTGATACCTGCATCTTTTAGAAACTTTATGCGGTACTAAATGAATCCACCTCTAAAATATAGGAAATTAATCATCGGCTAACGACTAATCCTTCTTTGCAACTTGTTTCTTTTTTAGTTATTAAATTGTTTATGGAAATGTTGATTACACTCTTGAACCCAGTCATGAGCTAACTCGTCAAGGCTTGGGATTAATGTGGATGATACTTTAACTTTGATAAATGTTAATGCCATAATTTCGTTTATTTTACTGTTTTATTCAATGGTTATTCATTTCTGGGGAACTCGACTAGTTTGACCTAACTCAGTATTTGAGTGTTTTGACTTTAATGGATTATTTTTTTTATCCCTCCTCTTTGACTATATTTTAATTTAGTACAATTTCATATATTATTTTATTATTTAACTTTTTTACTTCTTTCAATTTAGTCTTTTAGCATGTCTTTTTATTTATTTATTAATTATGCATTTTCATTTATTACTATTGCTACTAACATTTTCTTTTGCTTTCATTTTTATGAATAATCATGCACTCCATTAAAAATTAAAGGCAACATTATTTCATTACGATAATTAAAAGAGTAGTGTCTAAAATAGTTAGATCGTGACTCTTTTAGTTATTCATAACGATTGGGCATTGATTTTTTAAAATGGAGTGAATCTTTTTTATCTGGTTTTTAGACGTAAACTTTTTAAAATTTATTTTTAAATTTATTTTCAATTTTTTTTGTAAAAATTAATTTTTAAACGCATTAATTATATATAACTTAAAATAATTGATGATGATTTTATTCAAAAGACAAACATACATTTTATTAAAAATATTTTATAGTCTAAAACAATTCACACATCATGAATGCTAAAATACAACATTAAATTGTGGGGGAAAAAGATTAAAAAATATGGTATTAGTACTTAAAGTAATTTAATCATGAAAGCGAGTTCCCAAATGGACAAATGCGGCTGGTTTTAAACAAGGCTTTTAGGGTGCGTTTGGTTCACGGAATGTAAGATTACCAGTGGGAATAAAAGATTACCAGGGAATAGGATTACTGGGAATGTTGTATTTTGTGTTTGGTTGGTTTAGCAGGAATGTAAGATTACCGTGTTTGGTTAAAGAATAAAAAATTATTAGAATGTATATTTAACCAAATTGTCCTTATTATATATTTGTATAATATTACAAATTGTAAAATATTTATATATTTTCTTTAAAAAATTAATATATATTTATATAATTTTTTACAAATTAAAATATAAAAAAGGTTAATGAAAGGGTAAATTTTTTTAATCCCTGAACTTCATATAAAATTTTAATTATATAATTTTTTTTGTAAATCTAAAATAATTTAAGGATAAATTTGTAATTTAACCTTCGTAGAATTTTTATTATTCAATGATAGAAGAAGAATATTTTTGAAAAAAAAATTAAGGACATTTTAGTCCAAAATGCCAGTAATATTACAATACCTAAGGGAAGGGAGATAATAACATTGCCGGTAATATACCCCAAAAAAACTACTATTGGTAATAAAACATTACCGGGAATGAGATTCCCGGCCAACCAAACATGGGAATGTGGGATTCCCATCCCATGGGAATCCCACAATCCTTGAACCAAACACCCCCTTAGTGCTGCTGGAAAACCTAACTTTTTTGTTATATGGTTAGGAATTTAGGATTCAATATTCAATGTAAATTCTTTTAATTTTATATTGATTTAAAATAGTTGAATAAGTGAAAATAGACGATTGAGATTAATATTTAATTTTAACCATCTATTTTCATACATCTAACAGTCCTAAATCTACGTAAAACTAAATTTTTTTACATCTATATTAAATTTAGGCTTAATGCAAAAATATGTACCCAAATTATATCTAATTTAACTTTAGATGTCTAAAAGACTTTTTGTTAAAAATAGGTTCCTTACGTTTTTCGATTACACTTTTACGTGTTTAGTCCATTACCGTCGATTACACATATCATTATTATATTTTTGAAATTTTTATTTTCTTAAAAAAATCACCCCAATCTACCCCTCATATAAAATACTCATTACATTTAGGGTTAGAGATTTAAGGGTTTAGGTATTTAGGGATTTAGAGTAATGGAAAGGACGATATCCGGTCAATGATTGAGTGTTGATAGGTAGGTGACCTTTCGATGATGGAGATGGTGACCGGAGATGATTGACAACAACCGAAAATGAGTTTGAAATTAAGGATTTTAGGAGTTTTGGATTTTGTGTTTGTGATTTTAAAGAAATATGAGATTTGTTTTTTTTAAAATTAAATTATAATTATAATTTAAGTTTAAGTTTTTTATTTTACAAATAATTTTTTAAAATTTTATAAGTCTAACAGATATCAAATAATGATCAAATTTACCGATTGTGATGGACTAAACACCTAAAACTATAATAGAGAAAAATATTATACATCTATTTTTAACAAAAATTCTTTAGAGATATAAAGAATATTTTTATCTCATATTAAAAAGATTGAATATTTGATAGTTGCGCTCGTTGTTTGGTATTTGATTTTGATTTTTTTAATGTTATATTAAAAAGAATTGTGTAATATTTTCTAATATAATATTTAAATAATCAAAAAAATTATTGATCCTCCCATCATAATAATATACATTCAAACGTATTTGATCTCATATCTTTATAATATTATAATAAATATTATATTAATTAAATTAAAATTCAATTAATTATCTCATATGATATATTTATTTGACAAATATTATATATTTTATTATTTGAATATAACATGATATTATACATTCAATTAATGACATAACATGTATTGTAAATTTTATGTCATGCACATAACAAAAATATCATTCTATGAGTTAAATGTATAATATCACATATTATATTAAAATATGTAATATTTATTAAATTAAAGTGCGACAGTAGACAACTAACAATGCAAAAATCATATTATAAAAAAATTTAAATTTAAATATTAAATGTATAACACTTATTAAATTTAAAAAATTAAATTGAGAAAAAATACAGATGATTCTTTAAGAAATTTATCAAAAGATGATATGAATTTGATGGTACAACATTAACAACATTCCCCTAATAGAAACAAGCCGCTACGGCGCTACCCCGCCCTCATACAATTAATAATTTAATACTATGGGTTTAATGATGGGCCACTTTCGTGGTTGGACCGAACACATAAAGTCTCTACTACCTTTAAAACAATAAAAGTTCACAAATATGATATAAAAATCCTTCAAGTAATTTTAATTGTTAAAATAAATATTGTTTTTTAAAGGTTTTATAATTCACTTAGATTATTTTAATATATACATATATATGATACAAATATTTAAATCCGGTGCCGTTTGATACTGCTGCTGAAAACGGTGCCGTATGATGTCATCTCCTTGGCTCATCCTTCTTTATATATGTGCACCATCAAATTCGAACGTCGCTTCTTATGTTCGAAAGACGCAGTGGCAGCAAAAACGCAGACACCGAACGCTCTCCAAATTTTAAAAGCTATTCGACTACATTATTTATTTATTTTTGGATATTTAAGTAATTTACTACCCAAAATAGCAAAATTTGCTATAACCAATCAACAAACAAAAGAACAGTCTAATTACACAACCAATATTTGGTTAGACTATAACTCAAGCATTACAAAGGAAAAATTAGTACTATCAAGTCTATTAATGGCTTTGCCCTTAAGAATAGCAGCAACCACGTCGACGATTTCTTTAAGAATATCATCAGCATATCGGAATCGACCCTGAAATAATCTTCGATTCCATTCCTGCCACAAGAAATAGATGAGAGCATTCCACGAAATCTTCAAAATGGTGGTCAAGAGTGATTTTCCTTTTCAAGAAGCACAAGCACGAAATACCATTACATCCCCAAGACAAACATAAATATCATCTCATTCATGCTAATAAGAATATCATCAGCAGATCAGAATCGGCCCTGAAATAATCTCCGATTTCATTCCTACCACAAGAAATAGATGAGAGCATTCCACGAAATCTTTAAAATGATGGTTAAGAGTGATTTTCCTTTTCAAGAAGCACAAGCATGAGATACCATTACATCCCAAGACAAAACATAATAATTCATCTCATTCATGCTAAGGGTAGATCTTCATATACCAACAGCCAAGGAATAATTAGAGAAAATATAATATCTAGTTTCTTGATGAATGCTGCAGTTGATACATAGTCCATCCGTGTAAATTCCCATTTTTTTAGATGATCTCTTATAGGTAATCTGTTCAATATGATTATTCAAACAATCAAACTATGTTTGGAATATGCATAGGATATCAAATTAGTCTCTGCCAACCAACCTTCTGCACTTGCGTCCGAATATTCTCACATATTTCTTTGGTACTCGTGAAACCAGAACCAAAAAGCGGAAAAGCAGTATAAACTGCTATTAATCCCTACCAAGAGCATACCAAAACCCGGTTGGAACCGAATGGGCCTTCTTTATTCTCTTCCCAAACGATATCACTATAAACTACAAGCGGCTACCACTGACCTATCGGGTGGGCGGGCTTCTCTGGTGGAGAAAGAGGCAGAGCTTCCGGAGGGGATGAACAGGGAGTTGATGCCGAAGCACGTTGCGATGATAATGGACGGGAACAGGAGGTGGGCTCGGCAGCGGGGATTGCGGACATCAGCCGGGCACGAAGCGGCTGTAAAATCGTTGAGGAAGATGGTGAAGCTATGTCGTCAATGGGTGATTCAGGTTGTAACCGTCTTCGCTTTCTCTTCCGAGAATTGGATTCGTCCCAAGGTAATTAATTATATACTCATTATTCCTCAAACAGTCATGAATATTCATTGGGGTGTAGTTGAAGTGCAGATGGAGGTTAGTTTCTTGCTGAGTTTATTTGAGAGATCGTTCAAGTCAGAGATGGAGTGCTATCTAAGGTAGTTTTAGACAAACAGTATGGCTATGGCTCAATGTCAAGAGGTTCCGTGTTGATTGCGAATGTGGTGATCGTTATTATGTAAATTAAAAAAAAAGCAATTATGCATTTATGCAATTGTAATATTCCGATAATTTTGAAAATCATAACAATGTGATTGTTTCAATTACCGTCGTAAATTAGTATGTGGTAAGTCAAATATCTGATGTCATGTGTTGTTTGTAACAGATATGGAATTCGAGTACCAAGGGATTCATCACAGCTTCCCACATCGCTGCAAAAGTTTATCAACGAAGTCAAGGAGACCTCGAAAAACAACACCCGACTCCAACTCATCGTTGCAATCAGCTACAGCGATAAGTAAGACGTTGTACAAGCACGCCGGGCATAGCCGAGAGAGCAAAAGTGGCCAAATTCAACTAGCGGACATCAACGAAAGCTTACATCGCCGGCCACCGCATCCGGTGGCCGGAAAATTTTATTTTACACCGTTAAATAGATCGGGATGTCCTAAGGACGTTTCCGATATTCTTTTTCCTTAAAAAGCTTCTAATCGGAGCAAATCTACAAAATTACCTTCGGTGTTTCGAAGGTTTCGGTGAGATCCGGTGATCAGGGCTTCCTCGGTAAGCTTCTCTCCTCCTTTTCTTCTATTTTTGGTTGCTGGTTGTGAGATGTTGACTGAGATCGTTGATAGTAGTTTTTTTTTATATTGTTTCTCTGTTTTTTTTCTTTCTCCGGCTCTGTCTCTGTCTCTTTTTTTTTTCTCGCAGATGGGGTGATGGCTTTATAGCCATCACCGGTGTGGTCATCGGACCGGTCTGAAGATACCCTTTGAGTCACCGGACTCCCAGTGGTGACTCACGTTTGGGAGACGTGTGCGGTCGGCGGTCTTCTGGAGTCTTGGTAGACGTGGTAGAAGCTGGAACGTTGGTGTGGCGGTGGGTCTTCTGGAAGCAGCAACAGCGGCGGCCGCGTGGCCCTAGGGTATCATACCCTAGGGTTTGTGCTGGATGAGTGTGGGCCGTTGGATCTCTCAGATCCAACGGCTGTGATGATGAGGCGGCTAGGGTTAGAGATCATACCCTAATCTGGGTTTAGGGTTTCTGAATGGGTTTGGGCCATTGTATTTGGGTTAACTGGTTGGGCCAGTATATTTTTTATTATTATTTATATATGTATTTAATATTTATAATAATAATAATAATAATGATAATAATAATAATAATAATAATAATAATGATAATAATAATAATAATAATAATAATTATAATTATAATAACAATAATAATAATATTTATAATATGGGTAAAAAATTAGTATCTTCAGCTGCCCCTCTTTGCTCATTTCTTGTGTTAACAAGAATAGGGCAAAGATGAAAGATAATAAATTTTTTATCCATTGGCTTCACTTGATCATAATGGAGATATTGAATAAATTCTTCTCTTTCTTCAGATGAGTTCTTCTCATTATGAACTTTATGCTGGGGATGATGCTGACCTCTTTCTTTCTGTGATAGAGTTATTGAACAAGTTCTTCTTATTATGAACTTCTTCTTCCTTCTTCAGATGACGAGTTCTTCTCATTATGAACTCTACCTGGCAATGTTGATCCATCAAATGATTAATTCAAGCAAAAGATTGAACAAGTTCTTCTCATTATGAACTTCTTCTTCCTTCTTCAGATGAGTTCTTCTCATTATGAACTTTCTCTGGAAAAGATAATCCATCAATTTGATGAATTCAGGTAAAGGTTGAACAATTCTTCTCATTATGAACTTCTTCTTCCTTCTTCAGATGAGTTCTTCTCATTATGAACTTTCTCTGGAAAAGCTAATCCATCAATTGATGAATTCAGGTAAAAGGTTGAACAAATTCTTCTCATTATGAACTTCTTCTTTCCTTCTTCAGATGAGTTCTTCTCATTATGAACTTTCTCTGGAAAAGCTAATCCATCAATTTGATGAATTCAGGTAAAAGGTTGAACAAATTCTTCTCATTATGAACTTCTTCTTCCTTCTTCAGATGAGTTCTTCTCATTATGACTTTCTCTGAAATGATCCATCAAATGATGGATTCAGGTAAAAGGTTGAACAAATTCTTCTCATTGAACTTCTTCTTCCTTCTTCAGATGAATTCTTCTCATTATGAACTTTCTCTGGAAATGATGATCCATCAAATGATAGATTTGAATCTTGCTAAAATCTTTGAAATTCCTGTTAAAAATTCAACATAGATGAAAATGAATGAAAATGCACCTATTTTTGTAAACATCTAAAATATGATGCATGAATGTTGAGTTATTTGATTTCAGATTGGTGAATTGAGTATCTTCAATTGTAAAACCCAATAGATTTTTCTTCTTCAAATGAGAGAATCTATCATATTTGACAAATGTAGATATAATGTCACAAATCTCTTGAGAATAAACTCAATAGTATAGGCTCTTGAAAAGCTTGTATTCAGGCAACATGTTGCTGATTCTGATGAGGAGAATAAACTGTTACAAGAAAAGGCGAAACTTGGGCTATGATTTTTGGGAAAGGAATAAGCAAAAGAAGCTTGAAAAGAAACTTCTTAATGAAGACGATCATGCAGTTCATCTTTTAATTCAATGATTGGTTCTGTAGTTCTTACCAAAACCAGATCAAATAACTCAAAGAACACTTCCAGAAGATGCTATTGACACATTCATCTTCTAAATTCAATGATTTGTTCTGCCAAACCAGATCAGATAACTCAAAGAACACTTCCAAAAGATGCTATGAACACATTCATCTTCTAAATTCAATGATTTGTTCTGCCAAACCAGATCAGATAACTCAAAGAACACTTCCAGAAGATGCTATGAACACATTTATCTTCTAAATTCAATGATATGTTCTGCCAAACCAGATCAAGATAACTCAAAGAACACTTCCAAAAGATGCTATGAACACATTCATCTTCTAAATTCAATGATTTGTCTGCCAAACCAGATCAGATAACTCAAAGAACACTTCCAGAAGATGCTATGACACATTCATCTTCTAAATTCAATAATTTTCTGCCAAACCAATCAGATAACTCAAAGAACACTTCCAGAAGATGCTATGAACACATTCATCTTCTAAATTCAATGATTTGTTCTGCCAAACCAGATCAGATAACTCAAAGAACACTTCCAGAAGATGCTATGAACACATTCATCTTCTAAATTCAATGATTTGTTCTGCCAAACCAGATCAGATAACTCAAAGAACACTTCCAAGATAACTCAAAGAACACTTCCAGAAGATGCTATGAACACATTATCTTCTAAATTCAATGATTTGTTCTGCCAAACCAGATCAGATAACTCAAAGAACACTTCCAGAAGATGCTATGAACACATTCATCTTCTAAACAATGATTTGTTCTGCCAAACAGATCAGAAACTCAAAGAACACTTCCAGAAGATGCTATGAACCTATCATCTTCTAAATTCAATGATTTGTTCTGCCAAACCAGATAAGATAACTCAAAGAACACTTCCAGAAGATGCTATGAACACATTCATCTTCTAAATTCAATGATTTGTTCTGCCAAACCAGATCAGATAACTCAAAGAACACTTCCAGAAGATGCTATTAACACATTCATCTTCTAAATTCAATGATTGGACTAGGATATCACTATGCTTATTTGATGTAGAGTCAGAATTTGTAGATTCGAAGCATTTTCATGCTATTACACTAAAAAGGGCTATATTCATAATTCCGCCAATTAAGAACAGATTTTCTCTTATTCTGTTTCCTCCATGTGCTGATGCTTTTCCATTGACAAAGAAATGATGGCTTTTATGTGATCCAAGAACAAAGTTGAACTGTTTATAAACATGTACAGGAAGTGCCAAATTGACAGAAAGGATATGTAAGGCTTTTGAAGATTATGACAATGATCCACCTTCGAGTGTCCAGAAGTATGTTTTTGATGAGTATTGAAAATGGAATCTAGTATGGGTTGGAAAGAATAAAGTTGTTCCACTTGAACCTGATGAGGTGGGAATGCTTCTAGGTTTCCTTAAAAACCATACAAGGATCTGTATAGAGACATGTTCCCAGTGATATCAATGTCTTGTTTCTTTTTGCTGGAATCAGTGCTGCAAAGATCGCCTTCTATTGTCTTAGTATATCTTTGAAAACAGAGGTGCAAGAACTGAATGGTGATCGGTTGGAGCAATTGATGAGTAGATTTGGCGAATTTGACCTTGTTGCCGGTAGTATCCTGTGTAACAATCTTAATGTTCATGGCTTTAGATGGTGATGATTGCTTACTTTGTATTCCATGTATTTAAAAGTATTAACATAAAGTGATATTCAGAAATATTTAAATTATTTCAAAATGTTAATTCATAGAAGAATAAATTGAATTTTCGAAAATAATTTGAATCTCAAATAAATTGAACTTGAAATAGATAGAATTGTATTCAAAATTATGGCAAGCATAAGAATGATAAAAATTCAAATGTCTCAACAAATTATAAGCATAAGTATTTCTAAATTAATCAAGTTGATACAACTTAGAGAAATGATGTAAGCTTTTGTCTGGAAGATCTCAAACGTTGTCGAAATGCTTGTAGATGTGAAGTTTCTTCCAAACTGTCAAAATCTTAAGAGGGTTCAATTGCCAGATGCCTAATATCAACCTGCATTTGAGCGCCTTTTCAGGTTTTCAACTCAAATCCTCCCTTTTGGTTACAAGATGCCCTTTGCGGGTTTTCACCTTGATCCCCCCTCTTTTCTTTTTTTTTCTTTTTCTTTTTCTCTCTTTTTTTTATTTTTCTTTTATTTTTCTTTCTTTTTTCTTTCTTCTCTTTTTTTCTTCAAGCATAATATTTCTTGACAGAATCCGAATTTATTGGATTTCTCAGAATTTTTCCATCCATTTCTGCCAAGATCAACGCTCCTCCGGAAAATGCCTTTTTCACAATGTATGGCCCTTCCCAATTAGGCATCCATTTCCCACGGAAATCTTTATGTATAGGCAAAATCTTTCTTAGTACTAGATCACCCTCTTGGAATTCTCTTGGATGTACTTTTTGTCATGAGACTTCATCATCCGTTTCTGATACATCTGTCCATGGCAAATAGCTTTCAATCTTTTCTCCTCAACAAGGTTCAATTGATCAACTCTAGCTTGGATCCATTCAGATTCATCCAATTTTGTTTCTCTCAATATTCGAAGCGATGGAATCTCAACTTCAATTGGTAAGACTGCTTCCATTCCGTAGACTAGAGAAAACGGTGTTGCCCCAGTAGATGTTCTAACAGTAGTTCGATATGCATATAAAGCAAAAGGTAACTTCTCGTGCCAATCTTTATAAGTTTCAGTAGTCTTTGTAATGAGTCTCTTGATGTTCTTTGGCTGCTTCACTGCCCCATTCATCTTTGGACGATATGCCACTGAGTTTGCATGTTTAATCTTAAACTGTGCACAAAGTTCGGTCATCATTTGTTGGTCAAGGTCAGAGCAATATCCGTAATGATCCTTTCTGGGAGACCAAATCGGCAAACTATCTCTTT